GCTCCCGCAGGGCGGCCACCTACCTGTGGCCTGCCAGGCCCTGAAATACCGTAAGCACAGAAGCAATGACGGGCGCACGCCCCAACCCCTGCATTTGTCCACAGGTGAGCTGTGACCTCAGCACAGTCCCTGAGCCAACCGAGAAGGCCACACGCTGTCACCTTCGCCATGTTTCTGCTTGAAAGCAGGTCCAGGGCCCTCCCTGGTGGCGCAGCAGGTTAGAGCGCAGCATTTCAAAGCTGGCCGCAGCCCCTTAAGCTCCAGTTCGATCCCCGGCCAGGGAGTGACCCGCAGGGCACCAAGACCCCTCCCGTCTCCCCGCTGCCCCCTCAGCAGAGTTTCGCATCTGCCCGTTCTGCTCCCCACTCTGTCTCTGGTGACGCCTCTCACCCCCTGCACCTCTGGCCTGTACCCCAGCTCTGGGTGCATAAATAAATACATCTTTAAAAAGTCCAAGCTCCCACCGGGAGGCAAGCCAGGATCCACTCTGGACTCGTGGCCGCCGCTGGCTAGCAAGGCCATTCTAACCGACTAAGCAGCCGGCTCTTGTTTCTTTCAGTTCGAGATGATCTTCACAGACTCAGTGACGTGCAGTGTCTCCTTCAGGGCCGAGCGTTTACCTGTGCAGTCTCGGGCTTCCGCACAGGTCGCCCAGACCGCGAACAGCAAGTGCCTGTCCGTTCTTTCCGCTTCACCTCAGCTAGTCAGGCAGCTCACACAGAGGTGACTGTGCCTCCCACGTGCCCTGGGAAATGACCAGCTGACAACAGCACAAAACTCACATTGTCACGTATCTCTCGGCCCTGATCTACATGGAAGAAAACAGAGTGTCCCCTAGCCACGGACAAGGAGCTCGCTGAGCCGGAAGGCGGCACGAGGCGCACCAGTGCCCGGGAGTAATCCGCAGGTCCCTGCACGTGAACGCAGCTCCTCCGGGAACTCACCTGACGCAGCCTCTGGACAGCTGCCCGGCACGTGACCGTGGGCCAGCAGGGGCGACCCGTGGCCTGCGAGGGCCTGTCCAGCCCAGAGCCAGCAGGACCGGGCAGCCCTCCCTGGTTAAGATCCCCGCAAGGGCCAG